ATAATTTTGGTTGGAGGAATGTCACGTATGCCAATGGTATTTGAAACTGTTAAATTAATATTCGGTAAAGAACCAAGCAAAAGTGTCAACCCTGATGAAGCTGTTGCTCTTGGGGCTGCGGTTCAAGGTGGAGTACTTTTGGGAACCGTTAAGGATGTTCTGCTTCTTGATGTTACTCCACTTTCTTTGGGTATCGAAACATTAGGTAATGTTTTTGCGCGATTAATTAATCGTAATACAACAATTCCAACTAAAAAATCTCAAGTATTTTCAACTGCATCTGACGGTCAAACACAAGGTGAAATTTACTATTGTTGTTATTATTATTTGACATGTCAAAATTCTAATATTATAATGATTATTATTACCTAGTTGATGTCCGTGTTTATCAAGGTGAACGCGATTTTTGTCGTGACAATAAACTCTTAGGGAACTTCCAATTAGATGGTATTCCACCTGCACCTAAAGGTGTACCACAGGTTGAAGTGACATTTGATATTGATGCCGATGGTATTGTGAATGTATCAGCAAAAGATAAGGCTACAGATCGTGATCAATCAATAACTATTGTAGCTTCATCAGGTCTTACCAGCAATGAAATCAACAAGATGATAGATGAGGCTGAAAAGTTTGCTGAATCAGATGCAAAACGTAAAAACGTCATTGAGGCAGCTAATCATGCAGAATCAGCGATTCATGAAACAGAGAAAAATTTAGATCGATTCAAAAATGAAGTGGATGCTGAGGGTGTCACTAAGCTTAAAGAAAAAATAGAGAAATTAAGAGATGTAGTTGCAAAAGGAGAAGATGCAAATGCTGAAGAAATTAGACAAGAGATGCATGAATTACAGCAACAAAGCATTAAATTGTTTGAAGTATTACATACCAAACAACAATCAACTAGTCAATCACCTTCTGAAGGTAAAGAACCTTCCGATTCACAATCGTCATCACCACCACCAGGTTCTTTTTAACTATAAAATAACATAATAGAAGGTAAAAAAAACATTAAAAAAAACAAATAATTATGTTACATGATATTTATTGTTAAATATATAACTCGCATACATTCATTCAATAAGTTAATAAAATAAAATAAATGATTAATTATTATAAAATTTATCAAAGTTAAGTTGGAAATGGTAGACTAATTAATATTCCCAATTTTGCTTTATGTGTTATGTGTGAATAATTTTACATACGCCAGATATTTACTAAGAATGAATCAGTGAGTGCTTCGAGAATAGAGGCCTGCACGGGTCATCATAATTGAATGATTATTCAACCCGAACCCGACTTGTACAGAAAAAATTAAGCCCAAAGCCGACTTGTACACAAAAAATTTCAACCCGTTTTTTTATTAACAACGTTGTAACACATATGCATGAAATTGAGTGAGGGTTTGTGTTACATTAAATGTAGCCAATAATTTATTGTGAGACTATGTGCAGAAAAATTTCGTACAACTGAATTTAAATACTAAAAATTTTTTTTTTTATGAATAATAAATCTGATGTTAATCACAGGTATCAGATTTAATTAAAATTCCTGCCACAAACATTGCAAATGGGTGCTTCACACCATCTCATCCCTATGGAATTTTCCCACAGGTCACTGATAGCAGTACTTGTGTGATGATTGCTTTGTGTTATCCCGATCTATAGAACAAAGTTGGTGTCTGCAACTGATTCAACTCGGGAGGTTGCAACCTGGGTTGTTGTATTGGATTTTTCCTGAATTCAGAGTTTTGAGCCCTGGGTTGCTGTCTTGTCATTGACACACCTACTCACCAACAACCCACCCCATTTAAATACAAATTCAGTTGGTCAAACAAAAATTAAAGAAACAGAAAATGATTAATTTATACATAGCATATCAAACAAAATTTATTTTACAGCTTTCTCCTTGATGCCAATGATCATGATGACTATCACAATGGGAGTGGGCAGAGTTGAACTACCATCATTATACTTGTAAGAACATGCTCTCATTGAGCTACACTCCTTTATTAACCTAGGTTAAGTTGTATAGACAAAGAGCCCATTTAAAAAAATATCAAGTTCAATTGGTCAAATAAAAATTAAAGAAACAGAAATTTGGGAAAGTAACTAATATATATAATAACATACCAAAAAAAAATCCGAACCATTTTATTTAAAGTCTTCCTCCTAACATCAGAGCCTAAATGTGATTTCAGGGCCACCAATCTTGCTCTGAATTGCAATCTCATGTGTTGCAGATTCTTGTTGCTTTGATGGATCTGGATGTTTATGCACACCTAATATTACAACTCTTCGAAACATGACTTGGTTGCAGAGCCATCCTTACCCTAAAGATAGGATCATTGCAGGTGACTTTTTTGCTAGCATTCCAGCAGCCTTCTCTGGTCTGGTGCTGTGAAAGAAGATTAGTGAAAGCATCCTTGGCAGTCTTGGTAAACTCCAGGGCCATGCTACCCGGAATTCTATTGCATTGTTGTATCATTGGGGCACAAGCCAGATTAACCTTAAGCACATGAGGAACATGAGAGAATGGTTGTAAAGTGTTCAAGGTAGCATGCATGCTTCAACATCTGCAAATTTCTGATAATCAAACATCACATACTTGAATTGTTTCATATTGAATTGTTTCTTCTGCAACAGTCAGTCATACTGCCTTGACTATACATGAAATTGAAATTAAACCCCAAAGTCGAAATGTTTTGACTTGAGGCAACTACATAGTAAAAATCAGTTTCAACCTTATTTCAACCTATTCCAACCAGATCTGCAAATGGTCAAAATAGTTTCGACTTCATGTATATCCTTGACATCTTGTAATTAATTATAATAATAATAATACAAATAATGATTACAAAAAGTGAAATACCAACCATTTGTTTACTAATCAATGGGAATCTTATAATTATCCAGAAAGATCTGCTCTGCATTTTGATTCCAATTAAAATATTTATAAACTAAAAGATATATCAATGTAAGTAAAAAATAGCACTACTGGTTAGTTATTAGCACTTCTCCTTTAGGAGGACCATGTTTTGTCTGTCAAAAAATAAGATTGTTTTTCCAAGAAAAAAAAAATCAATTCATGTCTGTCCCAGCATAGTGGAAGTTTTTTGTTACACGAAATGTTATACAGAACCCATTGCTCCTGAAATTTCACCAGTATATAATTGTCACCTCTCTAAATTGGATATCAAGTTCAGGTCCAATTCAAATCCAGTTTATCACTTACTTTTTATTGCCAGAATGTTTGCCTGTATTGTAAAGTTACATTGCACAATATAAAAAATTAGTGTAACATTTCAAATTTCCACTATGCTGTCAAAAAAAAATCTGTGCGCAACACCAAGTACCAATTTTGTTTAACGCGTGTTTTAAATTTTTTTTTTTCAAATTAAAAATGTCTTCAAAGAATCAAAGGCGAAAAGAAAATCAAGGAGTGGCTGAGGATCAAGGGTAAATGTTTATCATAAGAATAGTGGTTGTTGCCATTCTAATTGTTTAAAAAGAATGGTGGTGGTGGTTGCAATGCATTGCAACTCATCATTCTAATTTCCAATTTATTTCTTCAATAGAATTAGAAGCAAATCACACACTCTTTAGTATATGGTATCTTATCGTTTTGAATTTTTATTTTTAATTTCTCTCTTTTTTCTTATAAAGAATATTTTCAAAGCGTTCAAATTATCCATATGCAGTGAATTCAATTTAAATTTGAGAAACATTGATCATGAAATAAGAAAGAAGGCGATTAATTTTATCAAGGAAATAAAGGATAACAATAATGGAGTAAATTTATAAATTTTTTTTGTTTATCAATTTATTCATATTTTATGTGTATGTATATGTATATTGTATTCATATATGTATACATAATTTAAATAGAATGATTCATTTTATAAATAAATATATTTATTTATAAATACTACTTTCATATATATTTCTTTCATATTACAGATAAATACCTCAATCATCACATTCACCATCACCATCACCATCACCATCACCTCCACCTCCACCCTCATCATAACCACTGTAACGATTGCTGTAACAACTGACAACTCCCTTCCAACTATAGATGGGTGTCAAACTAAATTATTTAGACAATGTCTAAAATATAAATTGATTTAGACATTTAGACAATCATGGTCTCAATTGTCTTAAAATGCAGAAATTGAGTTTTTTATTGGATAATTTTGTGGATTTTGTGTATATCCACATGACTTTTAGTTGTGTTTAAACCAAATCATTAGTGCAAAAAAGAAATTAGTTGGCATTGGTACTATGCTTTGTTATCCTTTTTTGTTTAGAGAGTTTTAGAAGTGATAATCATTTGCTGATTTGAATTCTTTTTTTAGAAAAAAAAATTCTTTTTGGAAAATCTGAGGTTCTACAATTTTCAACACATTTTTTAATAGTAATAATAGCAATTTCTTTCTCTCTGCAGAGCTCAGCAAGATAGTGAGCACTATGAGCAGCTAGTGAAAATCACTGTTTTTCAAACTTAATTTTTTGGGAAGGAATTTTTTGTTTTTGTTGGGTAGTAAATTTCAAAAAATATTTTTTTTATTTTTCTGAAATCAATATCAATACACTTGATGATCTATGTTGAAATTAAAATTTGAATGCCTTGTCCATGTGATAAACATTTTTTACCATTTATCATGCAAAATAATAAAATCTTTTTTTCCAAG